TCAGCATTAATTTTGGATTTCATGCTCTCATATTTGTGTCAGGGGAAACAGCACATAGCTGTAAAGCAGTTGCATGCAGCACTTATCTCTATTCATGCTATGCACAAGATAATGTTCAGTGTGATAAGGAGGATTGTTGATACAGCTTACAGATGGCTGGGACATGAGAAGCGCAGTTGTGCTGCAGCTGATGAGCTTGCTCCACAGCTAGCATGGCAAGTGGCTTTTCCTGCTGAGGATGGGATTATATCAGAATCTGGAAAATGACAGGCACTTCTGTAGCCCTTTTTTTGCTATCGTTTTGTTAATTAAAACAGATCATCCCCGCCATAGCATTGCTTTCAGCCTGCACAAAATGCAGCAGGACTCTCGCCCCATCGGTAGCTGTGACAATAGTGATAGCAGTGACACTCAGTGTCCTTTCCTCTCTCAGTCACCCTGGTCCCAGAAGAGGGGGACACAGTGCAGCTGCCTGTCACAAGTGCCACTCTGAGGGCAGGAGGGGATTTGGAGAGGACAGCAGGTGAGCAAGAGTAGGCGGGCAACAGCAACAGATTGTAAATGTTTCTGCAGTTCAGCTGGAATGGATCTTTTCTGTCTTTGATATGCTACTGCCTTATCCTACTCCTGTAATCTTAAAAAAAAAATCCAAACATAGGAGAGATTTTTTTTTCTTCTCTCCCTCCCTAAAAGAGACCCTTTAAATATTTTTCCTCTCCACATAGACTGAGGCATTTGCAGGGTGAGTGTGAGCCCATGACAGAAATCAGGGTTAACACACAAGATGGACAGAGGAGGGCACAAAAAAAGGGACACTGTATGGTTAAAGCGGAGAAGAAGGCTGTTTGAGAATAGATGTGGATTGATGAGAGCTGCATCCCTCCAGAGCCTTTGAGGGACAGACAGCAGTGTATGACTTGGCAGAAGCAGAAGTACTTCTTTTATTTTGCTCTTTTGAGTTAGGGGGAAACAAATGTTCATGGAGTAAACACAGACATAGGCTGTCCAAGGCAAAAGACAAAAAAAAAAGAGTGCTGCTTAGGAAACACTTTGCCTGCTAACACAAGAAGTTTCGTGAGTAGCCATCCTGTCTGGTATCCTAGTAATGAGTGACTAGTTCGTCAGTGTTTATTCTTGTGTAGCTTGTTCCTTTTCTGCTGCTGGTTTTTGGAGTTGTTTTCTMTTTTGTTCTTCTACACATTCATTTTTGTGTGATTTATCACGGCTGGTTTCATATGCCCACAGCCTACAACARTTTTTACTCTCTTGCAATCAAATCTTGCTGTGAGGCCACGTCACACTTACCCAGGGGTTTCCAGCATCCAGATACCATGGAAACATGATCTGCACTGGTGCACCAGACAAKGGTCCAAGACAGATGAGATGTAGTCATATCATGGTCATTGGAAAGCCTCCAGTGGACTTGTGCCACAGCTTTGCAAGACACAGCACAAGGAGTTGGAGTTTCATTCCTGGGTGAGAGGTATCACACTGCAGCAGAAAATTAGATTAGGTCATAAATGCTTTTTTGTGACTCTTATTTCCTGCTGTAAAAAAATGTTTCTCAATCTGTAGGGACCCTTCAATCTTTTAAGATGCGGTGCTATTTCTCTGGTCCCCTCAGGCTTTCCTGTCTAATGGCTAGCCATTCACCCCTCAGTTTGATGCGCATTTCTTCTTCACTCAGCCCTCTGTGGCCAGACTGTCAGCACAGACCTTGGCCATGCACTATGGGAATGTTCCTCCTGCTGCAATTCAGGAGCTCATTCAGCTTCTTGCAGCGCCAGCACCTCTGAAGGATTGCCAGGACTGGAGGTGACATCCCAAGGTGCTCTCTGTCCAGGCAACAGTTGCTMCAGTGGCTCTTCAGCCAGCCAAGGACACAGAGTCTGCAGTTTTCTTCCAGCACATAGAGCTCTCCRAGTGTTGTGCTGTGACTGTGGCACACCCACAGTTCAGGTCACTGAATGCAACAGATCTGCTTTTATATCGTTGTAACTCGGGCTTGACTGTAAAATCTTAAGATGGACCTTAAATTAAATTACTAACGCTATACTTAGGGCTGCTCTCAGTTCTGATTCTCAGAAAAAAAAAAACAGTATTTTGATGTATACCTAACACTGTCTTGTGTGTGCCAGCAAAAAGCTTTTGGATATCACTGTTTTATTAAATATGATATTTTTAGATCTTCATTCTTTGTGAAATCAATTCACAACAGATTTCTGGTAGGGGAAGAATTTGACCACACTTTTTGCTTACTTCAGAAAATATTCCAAGCAAGAGGAACAAAATAATTCCCTTTATTATCCTTGCAGAAAAATAATTTCATATTTAACAGATGAAGTTTCCTAAATCTGAGGTAATAAGAGCCTGACATTTATATGTTCCTTGCTTTGTACATAACTCAAATATGTCRTTAGCACAAGTGATGCTTCTCAGTATTTTCCTGTGTACCAATAGTTAAATAAGAAGTGAACAAACTGAGGCAYTTTTGTGTCACCATTTACAAGCGCTTAATTAGCTGCCAGAGCCATTAGCATGGGGGGATGTTTTGCTAKGAGCAGAAGGGTGACAACTTGCACAATAGTGACTTACTTCCAGACTGGATGGGAAGGAAACCTTTGTTTTTATCATTTTTCAGTGTAGCATGAGCTGCCCAGAGCATTCAGTTGCTTGCTCAATCACAGTCTGCTTTTTCTTGGGTGCAGGCAGTCAAACCTCAGCACACAGGTTATCAGACCTGTCTGAGACACTGAGGGGCCCAGAGAGGCTCCACCTGAGACCAAGTCAGTATAGCGGGCTGCATGTGGGTTTTTCTGAATGGCTTTGGGGCTTTTTGAGGAGTAAATTCCTTGCTGCCTCACCATAKAACTTCTTGTTGCTATTTCTAACACTTCAGAAATTATGCCAATGGAATATTCTGTTGTTCCTCAGCTACAGATTTTATTTAAAAAATTGGAAAATTGGAAGCTTTCAACTGAAACTTTGAAAAATGCTATGAGAGCTTCTCTGCCATTGTTTCCACATTGGACTGTTCTACTACAGGCCTGGTGAGGATGCTGTCATTGTCCTTTGTCCTTGACTGTTGATCCCATGACTTGCCACGTTCCCATCTCTGATGTTGTTCTCCCAAGGCAGCCTATAGTGAAAAAAAAGTACAAGCTAGARCAAAGCCCACTGCTGCCTCACTAGCCAGGAGTCTGAGCACACAATTTCTACAGTGAGTGATTGAATTTGAATAATTAGCTTGGTTTATGCATAAACCAGGTCAGCAGAGCTTTTCCATAAAGAGGAGAGTACGCGTGCTTAATCACCATGGACAATCCTGCAACTAAAGAGATGCAGTTTTCTGCTCTTATGGGAACGGGTACAAGGAATGGACAAAAGCCTGCAGTCTTTTGCATGAGTTTCAAATATTCTTTTCTAGAACTGCTGGAATCCAAAAGAGCTGCAGACAAAAAGTATGAAGCAGATTCCTGTGTCTGATTCCACCTCAGCGTGGGGGTTTCATCTCCATGCTGTCAAATTTATGTCAGAGACCCTAACAAAGTCATTTGGTGAAGGCGCTCAATGTTTTTTGCTGGCAGTTCAACCCCCAGCTTCCTTCCATTGGCGAGCAAAGTGATGGGTATTGAGTGGCACTGTGGGACCATTCATTAGTGGCAAGCATGCTCAGTTTGGGGATGCTTTTTGGTGTGCAAAAATCCTCTGTGTGTGGATGCCTGGTTGATAACCAGTRTCTCTCACCTGGCACTCGCTGCATGTTTGCAGAGCCCATCTTCTTCTATTTGATCTAAGTGGATTTGCAGTCCAAACAGAAAGATGTCTGCACAGCTTACAGTTACCACTGCCCAAGCTGGAAATTGCTGTCACCTTCTTGGCAGGCATGGCAAGAAGTCTACATGCTGTGGGCACTGACCTCAGACAGTGGTAGAGCTGTAGAGACCATCACTGAAGRAAAAATGGGAGCAGTGAGTTAACAAATAAATACCACAGTGACAGGAGAACCAGTCTGAACCACTGCATAGTGCTGGGAAGCCCTTATTGCTGCTGCCTGTGCTGCTAATCCTGTCAYTGATGATAAGATGTTGGTACTCAGTAAAGCAGCCTGGAAAATCTCAGTAGTCCTGTATTTGTTCTGACATGACTGTGTGTAAGGGGTTCCCTAGCGGTGCTTATATTTAAAACTTCTCTAACCTTGCAAGGAGTTACCATCTTCCTTTAATTCACTACTCCCAATAAAGTACAAGGCATTTGATTTAATTTCTGCATTGAGCTCTGAATTGTGTTCTGGGCTTTGTTCTCTTCAGCGCTTTGGAAAACAGGGAAAGGAGGGGGGAAGCATTTGAATCGGGGTAAGACTCTTTGCCTTTGACACTATTGAAGCCTGATGAGCCTCTGAATTTGGATTGAATAGAGCCCTAAGAAAAGAAGTAGATCTGTTGAAGGACGGCATTTCAGTGCAAGAAGGATGTGTGTTTAGGACTTTCCATTACATAATGAGGCTGAAATGGATTAACAAGACCCAGGCTTTCTTTTTCTTGAGAATTGCTGCCTGAACTACTCTTTTTCTATTACTGATGCTTCAGTCACAGCACTCACAGAAAGGTTTTCTTTGTTGTTATTAGTTTGGGAAGTAAATTGCAGTATTGTTCCTCCTGATCAAGAGATTGATTACTCAGAGGTCTCTAGCTGAAGGAAAAAAATGTTCCTCATTATCAGCTTTAAATGTAAATGTATTTGCCAAGCAGAGTTTCAGATGGTGGGGGGCTGGGGCTGGGGCTTGGGGGTGTGTCTCGGTCTTTTGATGTTCTGCCCATAACCATTTACAGATCTTTGAAAGGCATCCTTCTCATCAGGTCAATGAAAAGAGAGTGTGGGAACGATGCTTTTGAAAGAAAATTAGCCATTGCTGCTTCTGGCTGGATGGTTCTTGTGGGGTTTGGAAGAGTAATGGTGCATTMGTGTATTTGCTTTTTGTCCATTCTTTCTTTTTCTAGGTGCTTTCATAATCTGCTGGACCCCGGGATTAGTCTTGCTGCTCCTCGATGTTTGCTGTCCCCAGTGCAATGTCCTGGCCTACGAGAAATTCTTCCTGCTCCTGGCAGAGTTCAACTCTGCCATGAACCCCATCATCTACTCCTACCGGGACAAGGAAATGAGTGCCACCTTCAAGCAGATCCTGTGCTGCCAGCGCAGCGAGAGCACCAACGGCCCCACCGAGGGCTCGGATCGCTCAGCGTCCTCGCTGAACCACACCATCCTGGCCGGCGTGCACAGCAATGACCACTCCGTGGTGTGAGGCCACAGCCAGCCGTGTGACCGGCAAAGAGCAGCAGGCGGGGCASGGCAAGTGCACAGCCCCAGGGAAGGTAACCCACTCACTTTTGCTCAAACACTAATGGACTACAAGTGCATCTTTTCCAGGGGGCTGACGCGCCAGCGCAGACCACCCCGTCCACAGAACTGGCCGTGCTGCAAGGCCTTTGGTTTCTGCTTTGAAAAAGTACAACCTGGTTGCTTTGCGGAGGAGGTCATCGACAGCCCATGGAAAGCCTCGCTGAGACTTTGTTGGACTTTGCTGCATCTTGGTGCCAGTTTGAATCAACTCTGATTAATTAAGCTTATACCTGCTTCACTGCATTTACATGTAGCCACTTAGTATTTTTAAAAAGGGAGTAAAGGGGATAAAAATATGCCTATCATTTAATAGACATGTAATATGTATCACCATCAGCATGCTTGTGATGAACATTTTCTGTGCAGGGAGTAAAACTGTGCTCTAGTCTTTGTATCCTTAGCCACACTGTCATAACTACAGTAAAAAGAAAAGTATTTTTTTCTAACACGGGCAAAGGAAGATGATGGAAACTGACTCTTCTTACCTTCATTACTGGCGTTAGAGAGTGCATGTTCTGTGTGTATGCAGATTGTTTTAATTATGAAAAGAAAAAAAAAAAGCTCTTTGTAAAGTCTGCAGGAAAGTAGAAAAGCATAGACTGTATTTCAGTGTTTGTTTAGATTATGAAATAAACAGTACTTTAGTCACAATGTATATAAGGTTCTTCTTTGAAGTGCGGTATGAAATGTGTAACATGTAAGGGGTACCAAGTTTTTTATGGATAAGTTCTTAAAGTAGAACATACCCCTAAGGCTCTTAAAGGGCTACAAYCAGGTTGGTAGACTGAAAAAAATTGTATTTATGGCATGTTCTTGGAATGCTTTTATTGTTCATGGCAAAAAGCATAGGCATTTTTAATTGGACAWAAAAAAGGTACATGTCTTTATGAAACCTTTCTTGTAATTGAAAACAAAATGCCTTCTGCATTTTTGCACTGAGAAATATTTGTAGGGTACTTTTTAATGATGCGCCCTTCATTTCAAAAGCTGTGGGCTAGTAAGAACCAAGGCACAATTTTATTTTGTAAAGTGAAGATTTTACGAGGTAGTCATCTACTGCAAATACTGGACCACGCTACAGAGAGTAGCCACACATGTACACTGTTATAAATACCTGAGCTAACAGGTGAGGTATTTTCATATGAGACTATTTTGAAGAGAAATGTCACTCGTGGGAATAGTGGTTGCCAAGAATAAGTGATATTAAACCGAACTCCTTAACAGGGGTAAATGTGAGCAAAGGTAGGATCTTGCTGATAAAAAACTTGGGACCTCTTTCCAGGAAAAATGTTTTCTCCCAACAATGTAAAATACATCAACAGTAAATTCCTGGCGCTATTTTCGTCATTGTAATTTGTGTCTATAACAAAAATAAGAAAACAAACAAAGCCAAACAAAAACCCCCAAACACTCACAAAAAAAATGACCACACAAAACAAAACAAAAAATCCCAGAGATGTATACCTTTCAGTGTACCATACTGTAATGTGMCTTAAGGGACAATGTTCTCCCATTTGGGCAGGGGAAAAATGGAGGCTAGAGGGTCAGCCCATCAAAACCCAGTATTTTCAGCTTCTCATCCTTTGAGGAGATGCTTGGATTTTATGCTTCCAGGCATAAGATTTCTTGGAACAGGCAGTTCCYTGCTGAGGGAGGGAGGAGAAACAAGTGAGCAAAACCTTCCTCATCTGAATAAAGTGAGTGTTTTGCAACTGCTTTCACTAAAACTGAAATCTACCTGAACTGTCAAGCTGTGGAAAAAGGAGTAGGCAGAAAGAATAAACATAACATTATCTGCCAGTTGACCAAAGTTTTGAATGTATCCACTTTCTTTGAACAAAAAAGGTCTTCTATTCTGTGTGAGAGCAAGTGAATGTACAGGTTGATTTGGTTTTAGTCACATAAGTGTACTGAGAAACAGAACAGACTATATGAACTTTTTCATTTAAAAGCACCTGCTTGCTAACCCACTCATCATTTTTCCTTAGGGCCTACTTGAGACTTTAACTAGTGTAGGTAAGCCAAAGAAAGAAAAGGCTTAGACTGCCTCCAAAGACAGAGTGCATTGACTGAAAAACAATTTGCTTTTCTCAAGAGAGCTTGGAGTTCCTTTGTTCCTTGGATCCAGCAAGAGCACTTTTTCCTAACATCCCATAAAAGAAGATCTTMGACACTTTATTCTAGGGTTTGGGGATTTTGGAGCTGGGGGATTGCCCTTTCCAGGTGTCCTTTTCACTGCTGTTTGCATGTTCTTATTGAATCTCATGCTGACAAAAAAGCAGCAAATCATTTACCCTAGTTTACCCTGCTGAAGTGTGATGAATTTTGAGAAACCATAGGTAGATAATTTGAAACCAGGGGTTTTACAGTTGTTCAAGACATGGGTGTGTCCAGAGGCCYCTTGTGATGACAGGTGGGAGGTGGGAGATGCTCAAGGAGATTTCTGTCATCATTGTGGTTGCTGTCCAGGTACATTGATGAGCTCTTCCCCAAGGAGGCACTCAACAATTCAAGAAGCTGAACCTTTTGAGCTCCTAGAAGCAGTTAAATTTCCAYTGTCAGGTATATTAATCTAGGAGCATGTCTGACAACAGGCGGCTTTTCTTCTGAGAGGTGAAGTGCAATGTTTCAGGTTAAATTCAACAGGAGGAACATTCCTTGTGCAATTCTGCTGGAGGAACTCACAAAGCATGTGGCTGCTGTATAAAAATTTGGTTGGTGCTTTGTGTTGTTGGCATGTTGTCCCTATATCCCTAAGAAATCTGATCTGTGAATTGAGTGGTTCTTTGCAAGCTAATAAAATTAAAGCTCCAGTGAGCAAAGAGAATAAAAACCAGAGCCTGGAATAGAAGGATTCATTTGCTGTGTTCCTTAGAATGGTTCCCATGCCATTTGTTTTCATCTCCAAATTTTTTTTAAGTTTTGCTCTTCTATTCAGATTGTTCCAGCCTCATTGTGCAGTTGTAGAACTCACTTCTGCTATGTGAAAACACAGTGCAAAGCACTTAGGAAAAAATATTGCCCCACTTATTTTTACTTATCTCAAATTCTTCAAAARGTTTTAGAAGACTTCTTAAAATACCAACGATCCTCCCACAGTCATTAAAATTCTTCTGTTGCTGACTGCCTCTGGTGCGAGTAAATCCTCTTGAAGTTCAAATGCAATGGTGTTTGTGTCAGCAGTTKTAGGGGTGGGAAGCTGTGTATTAAAAGGAATACCATTTGTAGATCAAGGAAAATGTATTTTCCTGCTTCATGTATTTTCAGTGATAGTATAAATCTGAAAATTAATTGAAAATATGTCCTTTGAATTTTTCTTCTCYGTTTCTGTGACGTATAGAGAGGGTGAGTGACCCATTGGTCAGAAAAAGAACAGCTTTTACATAAAAGGTTTCAAAATATATGTTTAACACATCCGTTTTCTTGTCAGCACCTTTTTTTTTTTCTGAATTTTCTGAGATCCCTTGGCAGCTTCAGGCTGGCTTCTGACTGAGATGCTAAAAGCTGGCAGAAGAGAGAGACCAAAAAGAGGTCAGTGATTCCTAAAACTACACATACCTGTCTGTCCCTAGTGCAGTAACAGAGGTTTTTAAATCATTGCCACAAGATTCACCATTGTTTTGTTTGGTTTTTTTTTTTAAATTCTGCCTTTGTCAAATAGTCACAGCTGTGGCACTGTTTAAAGAAGCAGGCAGCAAAGGCTCAGAGTAGGCCCCTTGGCAAAAAGGGACGGGCAGGTATCCTATCTTCATGGGGCAAACTTGGACGTCAAAGAGGAAGGGACATATTCTTACATCCAGTGTCTTTCCTCTCCTAAATTCTTGATATCAACATAAATTTGTCCCAGTATGGGATTGCACTGAAATGAAATTTTGTGGGTCACTCTGTGGTGTATGTATTGTGCTCTGTACTGCTGTGGTGGGCTAGGGTTTAACCGTGGCCACTCTGGGTCCCATGAGCAGTGTGCCAGGGGAAACTCAAGTGGACTCTGCTTATGAAGTGGGCTTTGTAGCTTTTTCTGACCTTTGTGTTGACCCAGAAGTATGCTGCCAGATACCATACTTAACTACTGTGAAGCCATCTAGGGCTTCTGTGTGTGCCACTGCCACAGCCAGATCTGTCTGCAGACAAAAAACATGCAACTTTTTCTGTGAAAGAAGTAAAAGTCCACCCTGTAGATAGTTCTCTTCAGATGGGATTAGAAAGTACACCACCAAATGGAGAAGCTTTGATGCAAACACCTCTGGTCTGTCTCTCAGTCAATGTGAATCTAGGTGATGCAAAGCAGAGCAGGCAAAGGCATTTTACTAGGGCATCAAACCTGTCATTGTTCTGGGTCCCTTCTGACCATGAGACTGGCAGAGGTCAGCCTTGGCAAACTGGCTCTTCATTCCCACTTGCTGCAGAGGTGAATACAGGTTTTCCCTTTTTCTGTTCCTGCTCAGGGCTTGTTACTGCAAGTGTAYCTGTCATGTCCTTTCCAACCAGTTCCTGCTGTGAGCCATCAGGCTGTGCTTTACACTGATGTCTGTAGGAAGAGGATTTGCCGTCTCATCTGTTCAGGCAAATTCCTTGGGCTTTACCATTTGTTTGGAAAGGTCACTTCCAATAGAGAGTTAACTTAAGAGTACTAACACCCACACCTCTCCACCCCTGAGTCCTTAAGAAAATGTATCCTTAACTTACCTTCCATTTTCTTTCCTCAGAGGATTTTCCAAGAAACTATTCATCAACTTCCTCTTTTCTGAGTCTGTCAAGGAGAAAAAAAAAAAAAAAGAGGTTGATACTTAAATAAAACAAACAAAACACCCAAACAGACACAAAAAATATTACAACAAAAACCTCACAAAACAAACAAACTAAGGAAAAAAACCACAAGAAAAACACGGGACACAAGGATATTAAATTATGCTGCTGTCTTCTGCGGTACATGGAAATCCAACACACTGATAGCTGCCAGCATTTTAACAAGAGCCTCCATGAAATGTTCCCGTTTGCCTGTGATAAACTTCTGATAACCAGAAGTGTATGTGGGAGACTCAGGAATCTGTTAATTTTTCCTGTTTAAATAAAGCAGTGTTTGTAATTCAAAAGTATGGAGAGAGCCAATGAGGTTTGGCAAACAATTTTGTTACTAAGTGCACTTACTGTAAATGTTTAGAGGTTGTATCTAGTACAATAAAGTATTTGGCATGTGTAATATGGAGTGTGAAAGAAATACCCTTTTTCGGGAGMGCTGGTATTTCTGGATGTGGAGGGGAATTACTCCAAAAACATTGACTGTGTGAAGGATCAGCCTTGTCCCTTCCAGGAGAGATAGCATAGGRCTGAAAAACAGGGGCAGCAAAGGGCCAGGTTGTTTCCAGTGTATCACTTTATCCATTCTCCTTGTGATTCTTATATGCCCACCTTCCTTTCTTTGAAGTCCCCACTTGCACCACATAACGTCGGGCCTCATTTTGTTGCTAGAGAGAAAATTTTTCTTGCACAGAGAAAACAAACCTGCTTCTTCTTATCCATCTCTCTCTTCCTTCTTTTCTCCCTCTGCTTTCTTCCTTTTCCTTTTCCCTTCACCTTCCTTTGCTTTTTTCTGTGCGTGGACATGTTTCTCCTACTCGGTGTCCCCAGTTTTGATTTAACTATAGAAGGTTAAATAAGCAAAGCTGCTTGGCTTATGTATAGAAATGGATGTGTCCWCACATAGGCCTGCCTAGCTGTAAGAAGTGGGCAGAAGTGAAATAAAATTATTCTCTCAGTGCTATTTRAGTATAGCTCTTTAAGACTCTATTTTCAAGATAACTCCTATTTCACATTTTGAAGAAAAGAGGACTTCTSTAAAGGGTTCATTAGCCCCCTGCTTTTTGTTAGAGAAGCCAATCACTTACATACTGATGGAAGTCAAGTGTCTGGTTTCAGCAAAACAGCAGAAAAAAAATGTTGGTGTTCCTAATCACTCTGAGCRTTACTAAGTACAAAACTAAAAACCGAGAAGAGTTCAAGTTTTTTCATCTCCCCAGATCCTGATGACACATGACTAATGCCCTGGTGCTGGGCTTTCCGTAGCATGGTGAGGGTAACTTAAAGCAGCCCTGTAGARCTTGATTGCTGGACATGAGGAGCAGAAAGCCAAAACACACAATTTCTAAATAAATCACGTCTCATGAAAACGCACTGCAATACTYGTGGGATTTTCTGTTTTAGCCCGGGATCACCATTTGCTGGGAAAGCCAGACTGTTTATATGGCGATCTGTTAACATAAAATACACAACACGTGCAGCGCCGCAGCTTGCAGCCTGAGCGCGCAGCAGGAGACATGCAGAGCAGGAGCTCTGAGAGCAGAGAGCTGGCACATTTGGGATCACAATGCCCAGAGCCTGCAGTGCACTCCCCTGCATCGCCTGAGCCAAYCCTCCCATCCTGCTTTGTGCCTTTTCCTGGCCCTTCAGGACAGGCATGTCTGGATGAGCAGCATCCTCTCGCACGAGCTGGACCCAGCAGGAGCAGATGCGAGTCAGCCTCCTCCATGTTTATCTAAACCCTTTCTCCTTGTAACTTCTTCAGGCTTCATGTGGTTATGGATCTGCTGCTCCCTCCTCTAGTCCTTGCATGCCTGACCTCTGGCTGAGCAATCTTGTCACCCCTCAGAGTCCTTCCAGTTCCTCATTTCTGTTGCCTTTCTCCAGAAAGCCTAAACCATCCTTGTGGCGGGCTGCAAGACGACAGCCGGGTGTTTTACGCCACGGATACAGTTCCTTTGTAATTCCCTGGGGAACAGGGTAGAAATGGAGTTAAATTCAGCTGGCAGCCAGTCAAAAGTGGTGTTCCCCAGGGCCCAGTTTTGGATCCAGTTTGTTTTAGTGTTTTTAGTGATGTCTGATGGGTGCCACTTTCCCTGGAGATATTTAAAAGATGTGTAGGTGTGGCACTTAGAGGCATGGGTTGCTGCTGGGCCTGACATTGCTAGTTTAATGGTTACAGCTGATGATCCTAAAGATCTTTTATAACCGAAATGATTCTATGAGTATGATTTATGTAAATAAATACAATACACAGAGAACAAGGAAGTGGAAAATTCCACACAGAGGAGGAAGGGACAACACCGAAGAGACTTCCCTACCTTTGTGCAGAATTTGGTTTATGACCCTTTCAAAGGCTTTCTGGCAAGTTCAGGAAAAAAATTCTGTGTTGTGGCTTTTGTTCAAGAGAAATGAATAATGCCCCTTCCATGGCACTACTTATTTTTTTCTGATGAAAGACTTTGTTGTTTTAGGTGTATTTAATTTATTAGGAGATCAAAAGGCCAATTGAAGCAAGGAGAAGCCTGCCCATTTACCACCCACACTGATTTATATAAATGGTGTTTTACCACTCAGAAGATTGAAGGATGCTTCAAGGATCACTGATATAGGTTGKGGTTTTTCTCTTTCTTTGTTTTTCCAAAGTTCACGATATCTGGGTATTTTGCTGCTTATTCAGATACAGAATTTTTAAGTTTGTACATTCTTCTTGTCCTCAAGTGTCTCTTTGCAATCCTGCTTTTCAAAATATGTAAACACTCCTTAGTTCAAGGGAGTTACTCAAAAATGTGCCTGATTTGAGCTACTCCAGCTGCTACTGCCTTCCAGACCCCTCTCCTGTCTGATCAAAATGAGGTCTGATTTTGAGACACAAATACATGCTAGCAAGTGAAAATTATTTTGTTTAGAAATTCTTGTGTCAGGGAAAATTTCAGTGTCATATATATGTCCCTACAGCTAGTGCAATGTGCTTCAGGCAAGCCCGCTGCCCATATGGTGTTTCTTAAAGACACTCATCGGGAAAACAGACTTTCCTGAGCTGGATTGGGTTAAGGGTTTGGAAAAGGTGGCTGACCTTCCTTTTGTTTTTGATACATCATTCCTACGTCTTTGCATGAACATGCCTAGAGATGAGCTGTTGTTTAGTCTTAAGGTCATCTGTCCTTTGTCCTGCTGTTGGGATGCATGCACGCTTCTGTTTGTGCCCCTGAAAAAGTCTTTGTATTTTCTATAAAGTGGAAAACCTGATTTTCATTCCACATACTYAAAAGCAAGAGGCATCCACTGATCCACCAGAGGAAGTGCACAAGAAAGCAGAAACTATGAGGCCCTTGACTGTCAGACCTCTTTTCTGGACAGCTGGACACGTGCACTGTCTATGTTGTGATGTCTGTTGTGATCTGAGAACACCAGACACGTCTAACTTATTCTAAGGACACACATAAAACACARTTGTAATACAGTGATTTTTCTTAGAAAAACTCCATGAAAACTTGTAGGATTAAAAAACTTTCACTTGAAGGGTGTATCTTTTGATTTCTATTTTTTATTTCTGTGCCGAAAACTGCAAGAGAGTGGGCAGCATTACTTAATATTTTTGTAAGCAGAACATACCTTGAATCTAAATAAGTGTTCTAGAATCCTGGGAAAGCTCAGAGAACAACACTAAAGGGCAAAACCACAATTTTTTTTCAATCCATAGATGACAGCTTCCTTTTTTGAACAAACCATGTTTAACCTAGCTGCTGTAGGAGGATTACTGTGCTTGAATTCCATAAGGAATCCCATAAGCATTCAAGACCTGACCCTGAGAGCAAGGATGTAAATTTTGTCTGGATGAGGCTTGTTGTCAGGAGGTATTACAGTTCTCCACAATGAACTCATGAACACACTGTGAGGATGGGTTCTTCTGCACTGTCCTAAATTGAGCGCCATGACTATAACTCAGCCAAAAAGCACAGGTAAAATAAAATATATGTCTTTGACAATATGAGAGGGTCCTTCCAGGGGTGTGCTAAAAATGGGAGTGTGATGGCTCCTCTGCCTCTCYAGTGGCTCCTGAACAGTGGACTTCTCTGGCTTGCATTGCCTTGCTTAGAGGTTCAGCTGTGGCAGCAGAATCCATCCCTCAGCGGTACTGCCAGCAGGATGCATGTATCCTGCACAGAGAAGCAGGGTGTGAGATTTTCCTTCTCTCTTGCATTTGAATAGCATTTTGAWAGCTCCTTGCAGCACAGCAACAGCCAAGGTGGATGTCTTATTTATGAGTGAGTAGACACGGGGCAGTGGTGTAAGAAAAAAAACATCTAAGTCATTTATGCAAAATTCAAGTTCTCGCTTTTTCTGCTCATGTTCTAGTGAACAGTGGTATAAAAGGAAGTCTTTGTAGCACAGTTGTTTGTTTTATTCTCTTAATGTCCGTCCTCTGTTCCTCTACTTGCAAGGCTAGCATTTTCCCAAAGTATTTGCGTAGCTGAGGGAGCATCAAGTTTTTTTTGGAGTTAGTTGGCTGAAACTCTAAGAGTTTTCTTCACAAGTACCCTAAATATGCACAAATGTGGCTGCATTCGTTTTAGTGAGTTTGGTGGAAGAGACACAACTCAGCTTGTGTCAAGATACCTGTGTTAGTCTCCCGTTGCTTGTGCCAGTCCAGGTTAATCTGGTTCAGGAACTGAAAGAAACTGCACTAGTAAAAGGCACCTTTGTTCCAGTGTCTTGTGTTTCTATCTGAAGGTGCAACMATTGAAGAAAAAACATCATATCCAGTCCAGCATGCACCAGTGAAATTTTTTTGGTGTAAGCCGTGGACTCCTAAGTAGCTAAGACACTTTTGAAAATATTGCTCTTCATCCAAATAAAGTAAAAGAGCAGCCAATATTCAGAGTAAGTGGCTTTACTAGTAATGTTGCTCAAAGCAGCCTCCCACATGCTTCACCTTCAGTGAGTAACTCCRTAACTGAAACGTTTGGAGACAGTCCAAACAAAACAGTGTGTTTTCCATTAAGAGTGGAAAAAAAAATCACACAGCGTATAAATTTACAATGAAGCCATGTTTGCTACGAACTAGCAGTGACATACGGGTGATTTTAGTAAGAAAGCCCATAATTTTATTAGTTAACACGGTGTGCAAATCAAGCATACAATGAAAAACAAAGCAGATCTAGTCATTCATCAAAGAATTGTCCATCAATAAAGCTCCTGAGCCTTTGCAATCACACCGCCGGTCTGGGTGGGCTTCTGCCTCCTCCTCCTTCTTCCCTAATCGTGCCCAGCCCATTCCCAGCTGGATCTGCCCCCACAGTCAGCAGTGGAGCAGTGTGCTGAGGAGGGCTGTGGTCCCAGTGTCCCAGGGCTCTGTGCCGATGCACAAGGCTGTCACACGATACGATTACAGCGGTCCAGACACCGCCACCACACGCTTTCCCCTCTGGTCTGCCTCTAACCCAGAGACCCAGCACACAGACAACAAA